GAAATACCTCTGATTCATGGAGTTTCGTGAGCTCTAGATGATCAAGTAGTCTCCATAGCCGTTGAAGATCAATGAGTATCTCAAAAAAGTATAATCGCGAATCAAGAACCTTCGCCTTCAGGGGAGCTATGATGATCTGAGGTGGGGGGGAGGGAGGAGCCAAGAAGAAGGAATGCGACTTTGCGCCATGCGGCGCATATCATCAAACTTTTCGTCGCAAAGGATGCCGCTGTTATTGGGAGTTATACGGCGAATTATTCCTTAGATGATGTCCCCCCATAAGCAGATCAGGCCCACCTTCGCTGCGTTCACCGTCTCCAGAATATGACGTCATCTGTCATCACCGTCAAGGTCAAGGAGGGCCTACCATAATCGCTCCATTCTGAAGCTGCTACATAATTTCTTCAATCGGATAACTGGTGAATGACTTCTTAGGACACTAGCTCTGACTATGCAAAATGGCTTTTGACCAGCGTTTCAGAGACGTCGTAATCGTCTATGGTTTCTCGACGACCTCGTTGAGCTCGTACCGCGAACCATGTTTCCGTGGGAAAATCTTCTGATGTCGTCGGTGTAGAAAGCCCCTATGTAATTTTTTGATAGAATAGAATGTGCTCTTCAATATGCAATTGAGCTCATTCGGTTTGGTTTTGGCAAAGTGTAATTAATTCTGTTTTGAATGTGAGTTAGAGTGACTCTTTTTTTTGCCCCCCCCCCCCTATATGTTGTACCACAATCTAACTTGTTCGGATAGCTTTGTAATTTTTAATGGAGGATTACGCTGACGACTGAAAATATGTACCTCATGTTCGGATGAGGCTTCATCGTGTTCAGTTATGTGATGGTCGAGGTTTTTGGTCTGAAAGATTGATAGATCAAGATTCTAAGTAGAAAAGGAACAATAATAGAACGAAAGGCATTGCCGGCACATTTTTTCTTTTGCAAAAATATGTACATTTCTCCCCAAACCTTCATAAGGTGTTAGAATGTTTTGTTCACCCAGCATGACGATTTAAAGCCAGAGATTACGATAAAGCCTGTGTGCTGCATGGAAGAACGCGCAACAGTGTAAGTAGTAGCCAGGGGCCCAAAGGAATCGAGATGTGGCCTTTTTGTGACTAAAGGTGCGCTCGTTGTAGCGCCCTGGGGCTGCCAATCCTTTTCTGAGCTCCGCCTCCGCCTGTGCTCCGCCCCTCAGCAGATCGCTGTTCCATTACCATTCTGATAAGGTTATGCCACTTCGTTTTACCATGCGAATGCGGTATCAGTTAAAAGCATAATCCATGCTGACGCGATGTTGATATAGCGTGATATACATATGCAACGAAACCCTCCAAGTTGGTGTGCTTGTGGTCCATTTATCAGAGATCAACAGGCAAAGAAAGCGGGCCATTTTGCGCGTTTGTGACGGGTTCCTTTGCTTATTTCGCCACGGGTTTCAGCATCTCCACTTCCACTATGAACTACAAGGAATGTCCTTCAGGTCGCCATGGCCGTTCTACATGAGATGTATACCACTCTATGCATTCTGACACGCTGATTTCGAATCTGCCTTCCAAATCTGCTAAACGACTCTCCGAACGGAGTTATGAAGCGTAATAGCTCAGTGGTGATGGTCCGGGGTGGCAGGTAAAAGCTCGTAGGATCGGTTCCTTTGCAAGTTTGTTGCTTTGCTTTTGTCTCTAGAAGTGTTGCGGACAAAAGCAAAGCAACAAACTTGCAAAGGAACCGATCCTACGAGCTTTTACCTGCCACCCCGGACCATCACCACTGAGCTATTACGCTTCATAACTCCGTTCGGAGAGTCGTTTAGCAGATTTGGAAGGCAGATTCGAAATCAGCGTGTCAGAATGCATAGAGTGGTATACATCTCATGTAGAACGGCCATGGCGACCTGAAGGACATTCCTTGTTAGACCAAAAATATCGTAATCTCTCGCTTTATGCATCATGGGAGAGCAACATATGGGAACCAGGGAGTGGGCAAGGGAAAACATTCAACTGCCGTGCACCGCAGCTCTGTTCTGTTGAAGTTATATGAATACGGGTCGGAGTCTTCCCGAATAGTTTGCCAAAAAATTTTTGCTTTTTTGCGGACTGAAAAACCATCCGCATTTGGGGCTTCCGTGGAGTTTGTATTACCAGAGGCTTGAAGCGATCGACATCATGTATTCAAAAAGAAATTGTTTGAACACAATCGTTAAGTTCAGCAGCAGGGCAGTCCTTCTTTCTGAGAAATCAGAAAGTGGAAAACCGATTTCTGCAGCGTCCAAATATGACCCACCCTTCACACACCCGGTCACCACCCTCGCCATCATGGCTACTTGATTCTAACTAATCAGTCATCGACACGCTCCAACTTTACCCCCCCCCCCTCTTCTCTTGTGCAGAACAGCCGTCGTCGAGCCAATGACGGTAAACATGTCGAACGGTCAAGATCGTGAGAGCGTGTAATCCAAGATTACGCTTCGGTTCATTAAGTTTCGCCAAAGTTCTTCGACACCGTCAGAAACTGGCCAGTTCCCCGGCAACCGAGGAGCTTTTCGACTTGTCACATGAGACCTCCTTGTCGATCCATCTTCCGCTAAACCGTACGAGTCTCTTAGAAAAAAAGTAAGTGCGTGAATCGCGTTTTTCTTGTCTAGCCGAGTCGACTTCCCGCTTCCAAGAATGACGATTTTTGTGAAACTTTTGAGGGGCTTTATCTGACATTTCTGCACCATAAATTCATCACTGTCGACTTCCCTCTGAAAATTTCCAAATAGGATATTGCCTTCGTAAATGCACTTCTTTATTAAAGGCAAGAGCCACATCTACGCGCACGCTACGGGTTCGTTCCCGGATCCGGAGACTTGTTTCCAGACCACATAAACTGCTTCCATTTTTCAGGGCTTTGTTAATAGATTCTGAGTCGTTTGATAGCTCAAGAACTCTTATTATACCTTGGCAGGCCCCAGACGTTGTATAGAGCTAATTGCAGTCCTACATCTTTCACGAAGTATACGATCTCGAGGCCATTTTGAAAAAGATACCTGCATGCTTACCCGGACAATTATATTCGTGGATAGCGTTAAAGAAGCAGCTGACAGAAGACATAAAAGTGGGCTAAAGTAACCGAACACTTTCATGAAGCCATCAAAGAACGTCAGAATTAAGAGTACATATTCCGTAATAATGCATTCTTCACACTTACCCGATCGAGGCATCTTAAGGCAATTAATTTGAAAATAGACGCAAAAACTGATCAAAGAGTGATTTTCCCTCTACTGAAGCAAATCCTGAAATAGTAAGCCATTGATGCTTCAGATCTATTTTTGGGAAAGCCGTCAAGATCTTAACCACAAACTCTGAGAGCAATATCATCAATTAGAAGGGGAGAGAGATTCCCTGTTGTTCTCCTAATCTACACGAAATTTCCAGATAAAATATGCTATAAGAATTATGGGAATTTTATAACTAAGCGCGAATTCAACGAGCGATGGAGTCTTACAGAGAAAAAGGAGAGGTACAGTTAGTTTTGTAGTGACATAGCCACAACTCAGTCGATGTACGCGTGTCACATTCAACTTCTACGACCCCTCCTCTCAAGGGTCTCGATAGGACCTCACCAAAACCACAAAAATGCCAGTCGATGCGCTCCCACTGTTCTCCAGAATACTATCGAGAGGGGAGAGTGAGAGAATATCCTATCAAAATCGTCTGAAAGCTGTCATTTTGGGCAGGACACAACTGGAGTCCAAATCGTGATGTCGAGCTATTGATATTCAGTATATCGAAAGCACAATTCAAACTGCTCCTGCATGTGTAACCACCTCACTCCTCAACCGACCTCACCCCTTATTCCTCGCAATTCAGCTGCGTAATATGTTTCCCAGTTAAAATGAGATGTGTTACTCCGCCCGGGTTTTGTTCTATACCTCCGATGCTCCTCCCTCGAGGTGCCCCTTCGCCGCTGTGACAAACCCCTCGTTTACGTTGTGCCCAGAACTGCAGCTGCCTTCACTGCGATAAGAATTTTGCGACATTGACGGCATGACAGGACGGGCGGAAGTGGTGGGATCAAATCCTGGGTCGTGAGTCGCCCGGGCCAACCAAGCCTTCCATCCCTCCGGGGTCGGTTAAATTGGTACCAGACTTGTCTGGGAGGATAAAAACACTGACTTGTACATCGGCTGGCCCCCGCAAGTCATTGTATAGGCCACATCGCATTCAAACGCCACTACGAATGTACAAATGGAAGTAGAATGCGTGCCGCATCCCAAAAAGGGATTGATCAACGGCAAATGCTTTATCCTTTTATCCTTTCAGGAAAGAGTTCGTATATTACATAATATGGACACACCAAAGAATTAGAAGGAATCATCCGTTGGATGTAATTGTGAACAGCCACAGACACCTACAAGAGCCGCCCAACAGTACGGTATCAAATGATGAAAATTGAAAACATCGAAGAATTCGCTCACAATATAAAGGATTCATTACGGCCTTCGCTGATTCCTCGGAAGCATTCCTTCGGCTCTGCCTGACGTGTTATGCTAAGTAATCTGAAAATGTGGTTAATTGAATCAAATGAGCACCTACTGTAGGTTTACAGGCATACCACAGCAGCAGAGAACAAAAATGCCTACCGAATTCCAGATTTTTGCTAATGACCATTCCATTCCATTAGGATTTCATTACGTTCCTAAAATCAAGGAATATTGGTGAGTGGTTCAGAGCGAATGTTCCACGAGCGATGAAATGAACTCCACTGAAACTAACCAACTCAGTCATTCCAAAAATGACCAATCGATACTTTGAGACAAAACCTGGTAAGAAAATGGACACACCAAACCCTAATGAGAGAAAGGACATAGATATACGTAGAGAGCCATTTCATTGAAATGGGTATAGTGGTGGACTGACATCGTCACCCTTCACCCTGTTACATTAGGCGCTTTCCGGCTTTCGTCCATGTTTAGCCCGATCCTTACGAACACTGTTATCATTTACACGAAGAACATGGCCACCCCACCGAAGCCGAGCCTCGCGCATTTTATCAGGTATGGGAGCTATGCGAATGCGGTCTAATCGCGTGACACCAGCCGTCCAGCGCAGCATTTTCGTCTCCATTACACCGAGGCTTTCAGTGTCCCTGGTCGCTGGCCAGCACTCAGCGCCGTACAATGCCACTGGTCTTATGACTGTCCTATAGATCTTCGATTTTAGGCGTTCTGGGATTTTCTTGTCACAGAGAACTCCCGTCATAGAACGCCACTTGGACCAAGCCGCACTCACACGCGAGTTCACCTCAGTACTCATACTGCCATCAGACGCAATTGCTGATCCAAGGTACTTGAATGTCGTTGCACGTGTCAGCTCTATATCCATTTATTTTGATAGAACCGCACTCTCGAATCGGTTGTAGAGTACTCACCTTTTGACGTTCAACCTGAGCCCGAACATCGCTAGGCGATCGGACCAAGCTTGCACTTGTTGCTCGAGTACGTTTTTGTCTTCGCAGGCGAGCATCACGTCATCAGCATAGAGAAGCGTCCATGGAGCCGGTTTCTGAAGATCTCGTGAGATGGCATCCATGACGACAACAAAAGAAGTGGGGAAAGCGCAGAGCCCTGATGTACCCCAACAGAGATGGGGAATTCCGTTGAAACGCCAGCTGACGTTTGCACTCGGCTCTTTGGGCTCGAGTAGAGCATGCGAACCCACTCAATAAGCTCTTCGGGGACGCCATGTTGTCGTAAGGCGTACCATATTACTTCACGTGGAACGCGATCAAAAGCCTTCTCCAAGTCTAGAAAGGCAAAATGCACCGGCTTTTGTTTTTCACGGTGTTTTTCTAGCAGAAGACGAGCGGCGTGTATGGCATCAATGGTGCCGCAGCCAGTCACGAAGCCGCATTGGTTCACGGTAAGCTGGACTATGTCACGAATACGGCGATCTACAATTCGCTTCGAATACCTTCATGCTGTGGGAGAGCAGACGAATTGGTCGGTAGCTCGTGCAATCTGCAGGACTCCCCTTTTTCTTCCAAATCGGGATCGTCGTGCTCTGTTGCCAACTTTCAGGCATTTTCTTAGCAACGGCTAGATTGAAGACTAGCAACGACTAGGTTCGTCAGCCACCTCCCAGCACTGTGAGTTCCACAGATCGGCCACCAATTCGTTGGAACCCGTTGCTTTACCTGTCTCCATATTCCTCCAAGCCGAATCTGTTCCCCACAGTTATCTTCAAGACAGGGCCGTAAGCTGGAGGTACAGAGAGCCATCCATTCTCGCCACTGACGTCGAAGAACTTCTCGATATCCTCGGTCTGGCGATGGCTTCTCGTTAACTCCATCGAGATAAGCTGCTTTAGCAGCAGCCTTAGTCTTCTTTTTGCCTTTTTCGCGTTCTGGTAGTTAAAACAGTCATAAATGGTGGTAGGCAAGGAACGTATGGTGAGCCTTTTTTCTCCCGTACTTTTTCATTGACAGTGCCGGTACACAGCCATGCCTTTGCCCTCCAGGCTTCGTAAGCCAAGCTCGGAGCGAGCAACACGGACTATCGCTTCTGTGGCACCGTTTCCAATTTCGTCGACAGTCGTTACTGTCGGTAGCCGAATGCGACTGAACAGAGCAGATTCCTTTTCCTTTCAGTAGCCACCACTTGATCCTTGCAGGCCCCACCGTTCGACTTTCTTTACCTTTCGGAGGAGTGATCTTTAGGTGCAAATCAGTGGTCGATGTTGCGTGGCGACTGTCTCGTACGGCACTGTCTTCGCGTCCGTCACTAGCCCTCGATCACGTTGCCTGACGAGGAAATCAATTTGCGTTCTGGTATTACCGCTGTAGAACGTGATGAGGTGTGAGTCACGTTCATATGATGAGTTGAATATGGTGAGTCAGCATGCGTTCACGATGGTGAGATTGTGGAGTTTGCATATTCAAGAATTCGCTCGCCATCGGCGTTTCGTGACCCATAACCAAACCCACCATGACAGCTATAACCATCTTTCGTAGATCCAACGTGTCCATTAGGTCACCTGCGACAATGATAGGCGTCCTCCGATGGTACCTCAGCTGTTTTCTCATCTAGCAGGGCCCAGAACTCATCCGTCCGCTCGTTCGGAGCATGCCAGTACTAATGACGCCAAAATAACGCGAAACAAGGAATGAAATTGTAGTGAATAACTCCCCGGTGCTCTCCTATTTAACCCTTCATGCCGCTACAATACCAGCGCACATACGACCTTGTCATCAAAAGATTCATCGTAACTCTCGTTGTTCATCAAAACAAATCAGGACTCCGGTAGTTCAGAAACGAATCACAACGAACACCGCTTTGTTGTCGGCTAATGAGCGCGGCCAGATGTCCCATCAATTTGCGCAAGGCAGGACCAACCTCGTTTTTCTGGCATAGCACACAAATCTAAATCGTCTCCTTTCAATCAAATGCTTCTACCAATCTCACAACAACACAACTCGCGGACAAGCGACCCTGTCAATGTGCGCCAACATTTACACGCTGCAGACGCTAATTCTTCCATAGGTTGCGAGGCACTTTGGACAAGAGCCTAGACACCCTTATGTCGGTAGCCCATAAGATCGCCTCGTATGATTTTCGAGCACACACGGAACAGACATTTGGAGAGCTGCGTCGAGGCTTCCGCTGGAGACGCACTGCTCGGTAGATCGTCAAAAATTCATATAACGTACATTTAACCAAAAAATGATGTAGATATTTTTTGAAAAAAAAAAAACAAATAGGGCCTGCCTCCTAAGGGCTGTCGCTGCAATGTAAAATGTGTACGATCACCAAAGCTCAAGCCACCCGAAAAGCGAAAAGAAAGCAGCCATCATTCAGTAGGACCGAACTTGAAGGAAGGACCCCACCCCCCCCATTACTTGACCGCTGTTACATATCGCGTCATGCTGGGAGTTATTGCTTTGATCGCAGACTAGGAGCGGAATGTTTATCCTACTATATATAACGCTAGCAGAGTAGTGTTATTGGTTCGTCGTGTTATATTGATTTTGAGGGCGTGAAGCATGCGCCTTCGAGTTCCACATCCGGAACGGATCTCAGCGCACGGTGGCTCCTTGATGACCTTAAATATGTTATAAGGGGTGGGATGGGGACACAAGTGGTACGTGATAGAAACTGATAACGACTGATAATAGCTGATAAGAGGGGCTAGAAAGCGAGCATCGCCAATTTCGTTTTGCCGTTCATATTGGTAACTAGAGCGTCTATACTTACGAGTCTTACTGCTCTGGTCCAAGCGCGGATCATCCCTTAATTCCTGCCAAGCACAGACACAAATATATCATTGCCTAAACTCCAAGCTGCTTTTCACTTGGTCTGTACATGACCTGACACGCGATGACTCAAACTGATAAGGCTGATCAGAAATCAAGAATGCCCTGTCTTGACGGAACTTGCTACACGCTCTTGTCTCGAGTGGTTTCTCTTGATGCTCGGCTAACCTATTCGACTTTGGGTTTAATCGACCCACTCTCTAGTCTCGCAGATTAGTGTTCTGTTAGCTTTTCTGGTTGATGGAGCTACCTTGAACCTGGTCCTTCCTAACCGCCTGGGCAGATCCATTCTCTCGCCTGCGCTCCTTCATTCACTCCCTTATCAGCGGCTCCTCATTGGCTCGCATTTGACATCAGAGCAATTCGAATCCTCACACAAGTGTTTAATGATGGGGGATCTTCCCACAGTGGGAGCGGGAACATTGTTGGTCGGGTATCAGGATCCGATAAACCGTCCAAACTTTGCCAGAGACCTTGATCAAGTATAAGCGCTTGAGGTACAGTCGCGCTTACACTCACTACTCGCCTGAAAGTCGTACTTAATCTCTGTGTAGCAGTCCTGCCCTTGGCTCCGCCGTTGACCACTAGAACGTTCTTAACCATACTTACAGGTGTTATGTGGGCGTGGCGACGGGAACATTGTTGGTCTACCAAGGCTTAGCTAGGGCTACGGCGAAGCTCATCTGATTTATCCGACCTTTGATAAGGGGGCCCGATGAGTCCCCAGCTAACCGAGTTCGTAATTCCGCTTACCTGGCTCCGCGTTTGACGGCCACGAAGCAACCAGTTGGCGAATTTAAACATGACCAGCCCAGGTTGTTAGATCGTCGGCGGTTGGCGACGGGAAGAAATTCTTGATAAGTGGATTGAACAGTGTTGCAGCGCTGAATGAAAGGGCCGCACTGCGCGTCGTCAATACAAAACTTCCTAAAGCGTGATCGGCGCTTTACCGTAAACTGTCCTACCGTACTCAGTTGAATACTAGAGCGTTACATCATTTACAAGCATTAAATGGGGGGGGGGGCTGAATATTTTTGGGTGCCAAGAAACTGATATAAAACACAATTGATCTTAAGTGCCCTGCATGAACCGACCATCTTCTGCCGTGGCAGGCCCCTCCTACTGACGCGGCTGCAAGAAATTAAAGTAGTGCTATAACCGCAAGAAGTTGTTGCCAGTCCATAGCTGCTACTCGCGATAATAAATACGTGTTTCCCTGTACCGTTTGTGGGCGGCAAGCAGCACAAAGAACTAAGAGTCATGCATACGCGCTGACAGATAGGAAAGTACACTACATGTGTTTATTAGAGATTTTAAAGATGATTCTTACACCAGAATATTATTTCAGGAAGAATGCTAAATATCCTACTATATATAATCGGCTAAGCGGTTGTGTGTGTGTGTCTGTGTGTGTGTGTATGTGTTTGTCTGTCTGACCGGAAATTCATAGCTCGGGCACCAGTGGTCGTCAGGAGTTGGTTTCAAGATATGATATAGGGGGTGGGACGGGAACATATTTGGTGGGGTACAGAAAGTGATAACAACTGATAAGGGCTGATAAAAGGCGCTAGAACGCAAGTGTCGCGAAATTCATAGTGCGCTTCGCAGCAGTCGTCAGGAGTTGGTTTCAAGATATGATATAGGGGTGGGACGGGAACATATTTGGTGGGGTACAGAAAGTGATAACAACTGATAAGGGCTGATAAAAGGCGCTAGAACGCAAGTGTCGCGAAATTCATAGCGCGCTTCGCAGCAGTCGTCAGGAGTTGATTTCAAGATATGATATAGGGGGTGGGACGGGAACATATTTGGTGGGGGTCACAAAGTGATAACGACTGATAAGAGCAGATAAGAGGCGCTGAAACACAAATTTCACGAAATTCATAGTGCGCTTCGCAGCAGTCGTCAGGAGCTGATTTTGGGACATGATATAGGGGGTGGGACGGGAACATATTTGGTGGGGGAAAGTGATAACGACTGATAAGAGCTGATAAAAGGCGCTAGAACGCAAATGTCACGAAATTCATAGTGCGCTTCGCAGCAGTCGTCAGGAGCTGATTTTGGATATGATATAGGGGGTGGGACGGGAACATATTTGGTGGGGGTCACAAAGTGATAACGACTGATAAGAGTAGATAAGGGCGCTGAAACACAAATTTCACGAAATTCATAGTGCGCTTCGCAGCAGTCGTCAGGAGCTGATTTTGGGACATGATATAGGGGGTGGGACGGAAACATATTTGGTGGGGGTCAAAAGTGATAACGACTGATGAGGACTGATAGTAACGATATGCGTACGAACGTAGAGAGCACTTGAAATAGAAAATAGAGAGCAGATTGTAGATAATGCCTTTCATTTCAATATCATTTCATCAGCGTTGTAATTGTAAACTCAAACACCTTCGACCGCTACACCTTCTAGAGTTCTTGAGGATGAATGGGATGCTCGAATAAATATGATAATGAATACTGGGCATTCCGTTTTGAGATATTCGACCGCTAAATTACCTCGATACTCGACGCATAGTGGTTGTTTACATCATCACTTTAGCTGTGCACTTCACTGCGCTTATCAAACAGTGAGATACAGCCAAGATGGGCAGCCTATGCAACGGACAGTAATACATTTAACGAAGCAGCTATAATTTAGCGGTGAAACCTAAAGCTTCATCGATTGTCAGTTCTATCAATGCGCGCGGTAGCGGGCGGAGCTAAACTGGTTTATAAATATTGTCGTAATCCACAATTTTTCTCCTTATTTCTAGTGTCGAAGTATTAAGGTAACTAGGTTTTAGGCCTGTTTTGGAGTACTGTACTGGCGTACAGTACTCCAAAAGAGGCCTAACATAGGCAGTGAAAAGTAGAATAGTATTCTTATGTTTCTACTAGAAAAGGCTCGAAGGATAAAGTTACATCGCGATTTGGCTAGATTAATTATGTTGAGTATATACTCGTCAAAAGATAAAGTTTTGTCGTATTTGAGACCAAGATCCTTAATAAATGGAGGCTTCTCAATTGGTACTCCATTGAGTAAAAATTCGACGTCCTCAGAGTTGGTCCCTATTTTCAAGACGTAGGTTTTTTCAAGGGATATTTCCAGGCCCCAGGTGCTAGACCAGTTCAACTATGCGTCCAGTGAAAGCTGTAGTGCGCGCGGCTCATTGAAGGAGAACAATTTGACATCATCAGCATACATTGTACAATTTATGCTCCCACAAAACGGTGTCCAACATCATACAGCGCATTGTCGATGCTCTGGCCCATCCAGACATCGTACAACGCTTCATTAAATTTAAGCCCGAGGACGAGCAGTGGTGCAGAGCCCGATCCAACGAGTTCGCTAGGACCGGAAAGACGTCCAGTAAGTAGAAATCAGAAGGCTGTACTATTGATGTGAATTCAAAACTATGTGTTTATAGATGTGATCGGTGCTGTGGATGGCTCACTGGTCCGGCTGTTGACGGGTGGCAGCAGGAAAGGAACATCTTGCCTCAACGTCTTTAACTGCATTATTGTAGACGCTGTAGGCCGAATCCTGCACGTCAGCAGTCCCCCGGATCAGTGAACGATGCCGCTGCTTGGCGTGACTCCGCACCTGCTGCGGCCTTCAATCGTGGAGCAACCGTAGCAGGTTATCGCCTTCTTGGCGATATGGGGTACGGCAACGGCGGCGGAATAATGACGCCATTCCGGCCCACTGCCGTCCAAGGAGACGCGAGGAAAATGCGATATAACCGCGATCATTGCCGTATGCGATCGATCGTGGAGATGACCATCGGTCGTCTGAAATCGCGTTTCCCCATTCTCTCGTCAGAACTGAGAGTGGGGCCTCAACGCGCGTCGAAAATAGTCATTGCATGTGCAGTGTTGCACAACGTAAGGCTGTGCCGCCTCCACGCGACGGATGTAGGCATATTGTCGGTATGTACCTGTTCTTGCCACATAGGTCGGTGTTCAGATTTGATGATAACTCATCCCTTCCCTTTCCACTCGATCCGAGAGCTTCATGTATACTGTTGTACTCCAGTCAGTCCTTTACAAGGCAGAGCAAGCTCGCAGAGATATACGTCCATACAGGTATGTCAGGAAAGTGTTGTGACCATGTTACACATAAAGACGGAAACACTCACTATACACTTATTTGTATTTTATTCATGTTATCTAGTGTGATGTCGTAAATGGAATCTTTGTTCTTCATACGTAATGCCGTACGGATGGTCGAGCTCAGTGCGTTTATTTTGGGATCGCAGTCACTGGAGTGTAGGTATGATGACGTTGGCGTTACATTTCATTCACATTTTGTACTCTGTTTTGTACATTTCATTCTTGTAGTGATTTTCCCGCGAAGAATTCCTTTGAAAGTGCACTGAGTGTTGACTCAGTTCCATACATATTTTACAAAATATCCAGCGCGCATTATGGCATACGTGCGCTGTCTGTCGGTGCGGTCTCCTTGAAGGCAACTTATCCCTCTGCATCAGGATTCTCGGCCGCATAATATTCAAGTGTTCTCGCCGTTGACCCTTGTTCCGTAGAATCACCCATATCCCAGAAAGAACCTTCTAGGTGAGCAATACATAGCAAATTTATCACTGGTATTGAATAGACTGTAATCTATTGGATGAAGCTTGAATTTTAGTGGGAAGTTGTTGGCGGTCTTCAACCCACACCTCAAAATTGATTTCGTTCTAAACAATACTAAAGTTGCAAATGTTGAACCGAATGCGCTGATCACGTCGAACAACCTCGGCTATACATCTATCACCGGCACAGTGAATGTTGTTAGGTGGTCACTCCACTCACGTGGATTATTTTAACACTTTCTGAGTTACAGCAAAACCATTTTCGTCTTTTAATGTCACGGATTTCAGAGCACCGTCGTGCTACACGCGGTCTCGTTACCTGCAGTGTGCGCTTCCAGCACACAAATCACCGAAACAGGAGGGCGAAATAGGATCCGTATTAATGGACTCGATGAAGCTGAGACTCCATTCGCATTCGGTGGTGCTCTCTATCCATTTAGGGTATCTTTTCATTGGCCTGCCTTCATTATTTTAGTACAATATAGTACAATATTCAGCTAAACTTGTCAGAGCTCAAGTTCCCTAAAAGTGCGCTCTGCAAGGTGACATGGAGTGTGAGTCATCCCGGCGTGCTGAAAGTGGTATATACATTCGGAGCATC